ATGCTACAACATGATGAACTATGAAAACATTATGTTAAGTAAAAGAAGCTGGTCACGAAGGTCATATATTGTATGATTTCATTTATATGAAATGTCTAGAATAGGCAAATCTATAGAGTCAGTGGTTACCAAGAGCTGGAAAACAGGAGAGAGGGTTTTGGGGGGGTGGGGAAATGGGAGTGGGGAATGGGGAGTGGGATGGTATGGGATTTCTTTTTTGGGAGATGAAAAGTTCTAAAATTGATCAAAGCTGAGCTTGAGAAACACTATTATGAGGACTTGTTAACCTAGAAGCATTGAAGCCAGGTGTTAATAACTCTTCTTTAAGCATAAGAGAGTCTCACTAAGGCAGAATTGCATTACAAAGTATCTACCCAGATAACTAAGGGATCAATCACTTCAAGGCTGAATGAGCTAATCTATCAATGATTATTTAAACTTTTTTGAATCCTAGGTCCTTTGAGAAAGTGTTGAAAGCTCTGAACAAGATAGTCAAGGAATCTAAGTAATTTCATAGACATTAGAGGAGGGCTTGCCATGACTGTGGTGAAACAAGATAAAAACAAGGTCACTCTAGTCTAGTCAGTGTGCTGAGTTTCCACCCATGTACCAAGAGGTCACGGGTTCAAATCCTGATCAGGCCACATGCAGGGGTTATGGGCTCAATCCCCAGTGACGGTCGTGCAGGAGGCAGCTGATGGATGATGTTTCTATCATTCCACTCTCTTCCTTACTCTCCAAAAATCAATAAAAAACAGGTTTTTTTTAAAAAAAGTCACTCTATAATCCTGAATAAAGACGTCACAAGAAGGAAGGAGGGAATGCTGTCAACCACAAAAATGAGCAAACATCGTTTTCTCCTGGCTAGCAGCAGTGACTACTGGCTTCTTCTCCAATGATAGCTCTAGCCTCTTGGTTCCACTAGCTTCCTAGATAAAAATTAAGATGCCCAAAAGCCAAATTGTCCCTGCTTTCTGACAGCACTCAATCCAGAATAGACTCCTCACTTTCTTTAAACCTCCCTAAAATCACCTTACCCAGATCTTTAATAAGCTCCATCCACCTACTCCCTCTTTTTTGAGACACTCCATGGTTTTCCAAGGTAAAGCTCTCCCCTGCTGCAGTAATAAGCCCAGTTTTGGCAACATGTGTGTTCCTGGTGGTATTTGGCTGATGGGAATAAACGATATTACAAAATATTTATACGATGCTGTTAATAAGAGTATGTATAAAATTATGTATATTTTGACTTCATGTTCTCATTACATATTTGCACACATACACACAAATTATAATTACTTTGATACAAGAAAGACAGTGGATACACACCAAAAGAGTAGTTGTCTCTGAATGTTGGTATTATTATTTTCCTTTTTTCTTTTCTGCACTTCATATTTTCCTTCAAAGACTGTATAGAATTTAAGAAGGGGAGAGGAGTGAGAAGAAAAACTCCCTCCCCAGAGGATACATTATGAGTGCGGAATCTCATTCAAACTAGTGGTCAAGAAATAAGGTTTTCAAACTTTAGCATATTAGAATCAATTGGGGCGCTCACTAAAAAGATTCCTGGGTTTCATCCCTTGAGTGCACTCCAGAATTTCTACATTGGACGCCAGATAATTCTGACCCATAAAGTTTTGAGGAGCAACCTTGAGAAATGCAGCTTTTTGGACAAACTGGAACTTGCAAGGATGTACAGATTAACAGAGGAAGGAGAGGACTTCCCAGGCTAACAGAAAAGCATGAAGTATATGTATATTTACAGGCATGATGCTGCAGGTGCTGGGCACTGGGACAGTATAGTGGTCTGATGCAGATCGGACCCTGAGGACACCTGAGTTGACCAAACTGATGGAACTGAGGGCTGCTTTAGAGAACAGTTGGGAACTGGGCAGGTTTGGGAAGGTAAGGCAGGTACATACATTTCATTCAAGTTTCCCACCTGCACTGCTGACATCAATCCGCAATTAACTAGTTTCTTCCACACGTTTTTTTAGGAACCAACTTTAACTTTTTCTTAAACATTTCCAACAGCGATTTTAATTTTTTCGACCCTATTAAGTCTTTACTATTCTCCAAAGAACTCCTTTTATCTTGGTTTATGCTGCCAGTCAATTGAAAACCTACTGCCAGCCACCAACGAAACACAGAAAACAAGTTAAAAAGTCCCCTATTGGGCATCTATATGACTCAAGAGTATAAGACATCAATCACTATCTTCCAATATCCTGAAACTATATGGGATTTTCCCAATGAGTAATCTGATCTTTCAATTGTGTCCAGAAATTTTTTAAGTGGATAAGTGTTTCTAACTTTAACCATTTTAAAGGGGATTTTTTATATTAATAAATAGATTGGGCTCTTGTCTACAATGCACAAAGTAACTGTCTCCTTTCAGTTAAAGGAGACTTCAAAGAACAAGCTTTCATTATGCTGATGACAACTGCTTGCCCTAAATTACACATCCTGTTTGCCCTAAAATATATACACCTACATTCCCTCCCCCCCAAATATAAGTATTTTAGTTGGAAAATGCCCCTCAAATTTTTATGTTCTTTAAATGCAGGTGAAAACAAATGTGTTTGGTTTATTGTGTGTGTGTTTTTTTTTTTTTTTGGTGTGAAAACCATTCATTTTTCAAGTAAATGGAACCCCCAAAACAAAAAAAAAGCAATTAAGAATTTACCAAGAGATGTCCTATTCTATTACAAAACTACTATGAATAAAGAATGCTACTAAAGTGAGGCTACATAATGTATTTGTATTGACATTATCTCAGCAGAAAAGGGAATTTGGAGCTTGTAATCATAAGAAACATAAGCTACTTTTAGTTGATTGGGAGTAGTTTTCAGGAAACCCACATTCCAATGAACTAAACGCTTAGCCTGATAAATGCTGTTTCAGACTTAACATGCTCTCACTACTAGAATGCCTCTCTGGTAGGTTCATGCCCAAAATACCTTGATTATGATAACGTAGGCAGAGCATGGTGCTTTAAAGCCTCATAGACTTGGCTCAATCTCATTCTGCCACCTACATTTGATAAATTCATATACTTTTTTAGCCTTTGTTTTCTTGTACATAAATAGAAGTATCATCTACCTCATAGTACTGTTTGCAAGGATTAAAGGAGAAGGAAATAAATACCGGTGGCAGAATTGCCCAAGGAGTGAAATGTCATTTGATTAGAGAATAAACCACAGCAAATGATAAGGAGCAGTTAGAAGAAAAATAAAGAATACAAAACTGCTCTGCAAAATAAAAAGGGTCTTAAAATGCACAAGCAGCTGAGAGAAGGAAGGAGAAAGGAGACCTGATACAGAAAAATGCTGGGGAGAAAGGAGAGACTATCACCTAAAGAGAAAAACTGACAAGAAGCTCTCTGTGGCCAACCAGCCTCTTCATAAAACAAAGATGCCCCAAATTCTAGCTCAAGGTCCCCCCACTCTTGTACTCTAATAGAAATTTGCCACAGTGCGACCCCACCCCCGCCCTCCAACAGAAAGGGAAGTTTGTTGGCTAAAACTACCTTGTGTAAAGACACAGCTGTCTTGGGTAAAGTCTTATTAAATGTTTGGTAACACAACTGCCTTGCATGAAATGGTATTTTGAGGAATCAAGAAAGTGGGCTGTGTTCCAAATTAGAACTTTCACAAGGTGATGTAAGGGAACAGCCGTAAGAGACAAGACTCCAGCAGGCTGGGAAATTCAGCAAAAACACAGAAACATGCCAGTGATATCTGGAAGAAAATTAAACCTCAAAGATATTGGGAGACAGAGATAAGAAGCAGGGTTATATTATTTATATATCACGGGCCAGAGTGACCTCAGTAGGCTGGAAGGGTAGGGCGAAAGACAAGCTGCTAACATCTGGTTACCGGCCTTTGGTCGGCAGTCAGTAAACAGCTCTCTTCCCTTGTCTTATGGAGGAGATACAATGACTGTATCAGATACAACTGTGTTCAGGCTCCTTACAAATATCAAGGCAAAGAGGCAAACTTTAAAAAGTGATATAAAGCTAGCATGAAGTTGTATTTTACCCAAATAGTCAACCAAGACTGCAGAAACTGGATGATATGGGGAGGCGGGAGAGGAAAATTAACCAGAAAAAAACATACCACACAGTCATTTGTCAAAATCCACGTATAACTAACTTCACAGCATAGCTAGGTGATCAAAAATTTTTCCAAAATGCCTAATCGGAGAAAGCTGTGATTTTGAGGAAGGCAATTGAGCAATTTGGGCGGGAGCGTTAGTTACCAGGCTTAGAATCAACATCTCTCTTTTTTTTTTTTGCAGTATGAATGCTCATGTCAGTTCCTCTTTGAAACATTCAATATGGATTTACAAATAAATGACGAAATTACTATGTTACTGTGTGTTAACGAAAACGGTTAGTCCTTTATGTTCTGACGCTAGAGAAACTTGAAACTTTCCCACCTCTTCAAAAAGAAAAGAAAAAGAAAAGGCTAACCGTGGTTCTTAGGTAAATGGTGCAGCCGCTCCCTTCTCCCCGGGAGGCTCAGAGGGCCCCGCAGGCAACCGAGTCCCTGAGAATGGAGAAGGCACTGGTCGCTGGGATTATTAGTGCACAGGTGCCGGCATGGCATTCGCTCCACTTAAAATGCCAACATAAAAACGTACGGTAGCTCCATACGTTTGAAACAAATCGAGACTTTGTGTCAAACTGAATCCCCTCGTTACTACTTGAGAAGCAAGGGGAGTAAACGGGCGGCAGGAAAGTCACGAGGGAGCCTCCCACCAGTTCACCCGTCTCCCAAGTGCAGTCGGTGTTGCACAAGGTCCGCTTCTGCAGAGACTATGGCTTCAACCCTAGAGCATCCCACCAGGGTAGAGACTCACAGCCAGCTCGACCGCCCCCCAAACCCGCTGCGCCCCAGCCACCCAGGACTCGATCGGGTGGGCGGTGCAGCGTGTGAGCCCCAGCTCCTTTTTCCAACCCGGTCCCCAGCAGGAGCCGGCCACCCACCCGTTCCTACCTCGCCTCATGACCTCCGCTCCAGCTCGTTCCGCGGGGCCGGCGAGCGCTACGAGGCGCAGGCGCCGCGGCCTCTATTTGTAAACACGCTCCACGTGCGCTCGCCCTACCCCACCTGCATCCGGCTCCAGGCACCTGAGGATGCCCCGTTTTCTCGCGAGCCCTCCCAGGGTGCAAACCGCAGTCCACCTGAACGTGGAGGAAGCCTGGCTTTCAGGGCCGGCCCCCTGGGAGGAGGGCCGCAATAGGGTGCGCCTCTACCGCCGCCTGCTGGTCCGCGAGGCAGCTGGCGGGCTGGAGAAGCCGGGCAGTCAACGGTACCCACGCGGCACCGACAGTCGCCGCTGCCGCCGCCGGCCCCGCCCCCGGCCGCGCGCGCTCGCCGGGTCTCCAGCTCGCCAGCGACCGCACCCCGGCCCCGCCCCCTGCACCGCCTCGCCCCGCCCACTGCCAGCGGCCCCGCCCCCGGCCGCGCGCTCGCCCGCCCAGGCCCCGCCCGCTCGGCGACACAACGTTCCTGCGGGGGCGCGCGCGCGCACCCTAATCCCCCGCCTTCCGGCTCCGGCGACGCTCGCTCCGCGCTGCCGCCGCGCCGCCCGTGTCCATCTCCCTCCAGAGACTCCATTTGCTCTCGGGCGGTCCGGCGCTGCGCAGGCAGCAGGGAGCGATGCGCCCTGCGCGAGGGCCGGCGTCCCCGGGGCCAAGCAGCCGCTCGCTCGCCCGCTGGCTGCGGCGGTGACACCCGGGCGCCGGTGGCCACGGACGGACCCGGGCTCCCTCCGCGTGAGCAAAGACGTCCCGCGCTCGAGCTCGCCCTGCGGAGAGACGCCCTCGCTTGCACCGCTTCCCTCTGACCTCTTGATTCAGGAGGTAGGCGATTCAGGTCCCGCTCTCTGTCACTTAGTATTATTAGCCATCTCACTGGTAGGAGACGCTAATTTTTTCAACATAGTTTCAGGATAATGCCACAGACCCTGCTACTGGAAAAAAAAAATGTTTCTTGGTATTTTCCTTTAGGTTTCTGAGGCTCCGAATACCTCTGCAGCCCCCCCACAGGAACTGCAGGACTTCTGTTGGCCCATCGAGGATCATTCTTCACCGGGATTACTGTATAACATCATCACTGAGCTTCCACCCCCTACCCTCCACCATGAGTCCTGGTTTCCACCAGGGAAGTTTTCTGATGATTTCTGTAATCATGTGACACCACCTATTGTCTCCCCCTTTTTTCCTTTCTGGTTGTGAAATACATTAGGTGTCAGTTTGTGTCGTGTTAATGTGCAGTTTTCTGCCTGCCTACCTTTGCCTTATTTGCACCGCTCACTTCTGTCCAGCCTGCCTTACCTTGCTTGCTTATGATTTCCATAACCACTCACTTGCATAACCTGTAACAGTCCTTGCCTGGAGGAGGCAGCATTCCCTACAGTGCGCGGCCTGAGAAAGAACAGTCAGGGCATGAGTTTTCCCATTGTATTTTCCCATAGATCAAGTATGCAAGTCCTCTCGTAAACTATTGCTTCGCCAGCACATGTCCCAAAATATCCCACCTGAGCCTTAGTCTTTTATAACCTCACCTGTAATGATGGCAAGAAGAATTGACTGCGCACTAATACTGTGAGAGAACTTGCTGATACAGCATTGGTTTGTAATCTCCTTCGAGACTAGTTCATGAAAAAAAAAACACCTTAAACTACATGAGGAGGAAGAAAGAAGATAGGGTTCATTGGAGCTAGTCCTTGTTGAGGGATTTTGTAAGTTTTAAAACAGCAAAGTGAGAGTCGTATAGGCCTTGCCTAGAAATTGGCCAGCACGCTATCCGCCTCTAGGGGGACAGGAAAGGGATTTGTAAAGCCCAATTTTCTAGTCTCGATTTTGTTCAAGTCAAGGTCGTTAAATAACTTGTTCTAGTAATTGCCTAATATATTAGACATTAAAATGTTGGGGAAACGTAAGCGTGTGGTGTTGACAATTAAGGACAAGCTTGACATTATTAAGAAACTTGAGGAAGGCATCTCTTTCAAAAAACTTTCTGTGGTGTATGGGATTGGTGAATCCACAGTTCGCGATATTAAAAAGAATAAAGATAGGATAATAAACTATGCAAACAACTCAGATCCTACAAGTGGGGTATCCAAACGTAAATCTATGAAGTCATCAACATATGAGGAACTTGATAGAGTTATGATAGAGTGGTTTAACCAACAGAAAACAGATGGGATTCCAGTGTCTGGAGCAATTTGTGCGAAACAAGCAAAGTTCTTTTTTGATGCTTTAGGGATGGAAGGTGATTTTAGTGCATCATCTGGCTGGCTAACTCGATTTAAGCAGCGCCATGGTATTCCAAAGGCTGCTAGTCAAGGAACAAAATTAAAAGGAGATGAAACTGCTGCCAGTGAGTTTTGTGGTAACTTTCAGGAATTTATTGAAAGAGAGAATCTACAACCAGAGCAAATTTATGGTGCTGACCAAACTGGGTTGTTCTGGAAATGTTTACCATCCAGGACATTAGTTCTTGAAGCTAACCAAAATACTTCTGGTTATAGGTCAAGCAGAGAGAGAATCATTATTATGTGTTGTGCAAATGCCACAGGTTTACACAAACTTAATCTTTGTGTTGTGGGAAAAGCCAAAAGACCCCGTGCATTCAAAGGAGCTGACCTTTCAAACTTTCCTGTCACTTATTTCAGTCAGAAAAGTGCATGGATAGAACATTCAGTTTTCAGACAGTGGTTTGAAAAATACTTTGTGCCACAGGTACAGAAGCATTTGAAATCCAAGGGGCTTCTAGAAAAAGCAGTGCTGCTTTTGGATTTTCCTCCAGCACATCCACATGAAGAATCGCTGAGTTCAGATGATGGCAGAATAATTGTGAAATATCTGCCACCCAATGTCACAAGTCTAATTCAACCTATGAACCAGGGAGTTCTAGCCACGGTAAAAAGATACTACCGAGCCGGGCTTCTCCAGAAATACATGGATGAAGGAATTGACCCAAAAATGTTTTGGAAGAACTTGACAGTGTTGGATGCAATTTATGAAGTATCAAGAGCTTGGAACATGGTGAAATCAAGTACCATAACCAAAGCTTGGAAAAAACTTTTCCCTGGCAATGAAGAGAATTCAGGTCTGAACATGGATGAAGGAGCCATTTTAGCAGCTAACTTAGCAACGGTTTTACAGAATACAGAAGACTGTGAACACGTTGACATTGAGGATATTGACCAGTGGTTTGACTCTCAGAGTAGTGATTCAAGCTGTCAGGTGCTAAGTGACAGCGAAGGTGTTGAGGACCAGTCCAAGCCTGCTGAGCAAAAGCCTCCCAGCAAGACCAGAAAAACAGAAGTGAATCCAGTGAAGCACATTAGCCATAAAGCTGCACTTGAATGGACCGAAAACTTACTGGATTATCTAGAACAACAAGATGACATGCTTCTGTCTGATAAACTGGTATTACGGAGGCTGCGAACGATCATAAGAAGAAAGCAGAAGGTCCACAATAACAAAAATCATTAATAATGCTCTGAAGGGTGTCAGAGTATTTGCGTCTTTGTGACTTTATCTGCAATGGAACTTAATTATCTTGCTTTAAGTGCTATGGATTTCAAGGCCAAATACATTTTATAAATGATTTTAGGATTAGATGCCATTTTGGATTACTTAAATTACTGCTCTTTAATGTCAATTCTAGTAAGTGAGCATTGACATGTAACTTGTCAGTCTTTTGTTTCTAATCTGTGTTCTACTAATTAGATCATAAGGTTCCTGAGGCCAGGGATCTTGTGTCTGTTTTGTGCCTGAATTTCGTTGTGTCTAACGAGGACCATGCACACTATAGGCAATCAATAAACCTGACTTAAAATGAATTTTTATGACTTTCTATGAACTTCAGTTTCCAAATTGAAATATGTGCCCAACTGGTATGTCTCAGTGGTTGAATGTTGGTTGATCTATGGAACAGGAGGTCAGGGCACAAGCCCAGGTTACAGGCTCGATCCCCAGTGGGGGCATGCAGGAGGCAGCCGATTAATGATTCTCTCATCATTGATGTTTCTGTCTCTCCATCTCCCTTCCTATCTGAAATCAATAAAAACATATTTTTAAAAATATTAAAAGAAATATATTAGTGGTAACTTTCCATTTCTATGATTTTCCAATCTGCTGAAAATTTTAGAACTCATCAAAGATTATGCTTGAAGTATTTCACAGTGAAAACAGAGAATAAAGGAAAACAGTCTAAAGCCTTAACTATGACATTCTAAACCAACAATATTTGGGCACCTAACAATTCAGATTGGCCATTTCTGAGTATAATGAAGGAAGAAGAAATAGGTTAAGATGTCCCCAAGGCTTGCACTGCACTTTTATTCCACTGACAGTAGGGAGAATTTCTTCATAGTAGAAAAAAATAGATTTCAATTCCCAAACGGTTGTGATTAGAAGAGGTAAAGGTTACCTTTTTCCATCTGTCATTTTGATCCTTAGTATAGATATCTCAATCATTTTTAATAAGCTACTTGATATTTATGTAACACTTTTAAGCGTACAAAGTATGCCATTTTCTTTCAGGTAGCCTGTTTTTCTGTGAGAAATACTGAGAATATAAGCCTCATAATTTGTGGACCCACCCCATGAACAATGGACTGACATTAAATAGAACATGTGAAAGGTACTGTAGAACAGCATCAGCTGCTGGGTGACCATGGCAAGTTACTTAATCTCTGCAAAATAGGGGAAATACCTTCCCCGGAGAGTTTTTGTGAGGAGTAAATGAGTTAATATATGGGCTTAGATCAGGTCCTGACTCAGAATAAGTCGACTCTGAGTGTTGGCTACTGTTACTGAGTTGCAGAAATTGGGAGTTTTGGAAATATGCTGAACAGATCTAGTGTGTGTCTCAGCCAAGATGTTGCTGCATTGGGAAAAATCTTTAGATGGGGAAATAAGATCAAAGAGATTCAAGTAACTAGTTTCTGTTGAAATACAATAATATTTATTTCAGTGAAAAATGAAATGTTAATCCAATTTAGAAATCATTTTCTGACCATGTGCTGCTAGACACAATAAGGTATACAGATACATATAAGATATCTTCAGTTGAATTTTAAAAGAAGATAAGAATGGAGTTGTAATTTCTTTGCTCCTGCTAATAAAATAGATAGATATTAACTTTGTTCATAAAAGTCTATGTTACTAATATTGGCATAATTCACTTAAGTAATAAAATACCTTTAAAGTAGGTAAGATAGCAGTAAGCGGGACACTTGAAATATTTTATCAAACTAACACAATCGGTAGAAAATCAGAT